ATCTATCTATCTATCTATCTATCTATCTATCTATCTATCTATCTATCGTTTTTGCTGTTGGGGGGTTTTAACTTTGTAGCTTGTGTGTAGAAATCCTTGTTGTGGCTCAAGAATGCGCACGACACAACCAGTTTTTCATAGAGAACTTTATTGAATGCATCTATATATATTTATATTTTGATAAATAACATTTCTTAAATCTTTTCCAGTCAGGATCAGTGTTTTGTATTGCTTCCCTTTGTCGTTATTGTCCTTTACACGAATCACTCTACAGAGTGGAATTATTTTCCACCTGAGGAGTTTCAGGTTTGACTTTTTGTCAGTAGCCCACGTGTTGGGGAGAGAACCGGTTGACTCACAGTGGCATTGAAATGGCTTTAACAATGGCACAGGAATCCCAAATGGGAAAACAAAGAAGATTTCGGCCATATTTGCAAATACTTTGCAGGAGTTCGGGACAAATGGCTTTTGGGTGGGTGATTCCGTAACAACGCTCAGGTTATTGGAAGCAAAAGCAGAATGTTGTCGGCTGAACACGAGGACACTCACTGTTTAAAAACCACTGAGACCACCAACAAAGACAACATGCAGCTCACTCTGCCAGCACTAAGGCTACTGATTGTGTGTCACAGGGAGGCCTGCGGCCTTTATAGCCCCAAAGTACAGGTGTAGGAACTCTGAAACAATATAACATTAAGGATATCTATACATATCACCACCAAAATAAATATATCAATATAAATTCAATCACCTACAGTTGTACACTAGTTAGAACATTAAAAAACACTAATTATTAGGCTACGTTGGTTATGTTCAGAAAGTAACAACCCTTTTTAATGCAAGGAAATTAGGACTGTGATGATAGCACAAAAATGGGAGAGTACAATAAGTGAGAGGAACCCACGGATATTAACAAATAAAAAAGATAAAAGGGAAGAAAAACTAGAGAAATCATTCAATAAAACAAGAATGAATAAATGAAATAATAAAAACAGGTACATTAAAGTCTTCTTAAATACAGAGCCAAAAGATACTTAATTGTAAAATGAACATAGATGTTAAAAGATTGGGACACTGGGGAGGAAAGTTGCCCATTTACATCTTTACAATGGAACAATCTAGATAGATGGACAAAGATAACGACTCTCACTTGCTTTTTCCTTTGAACAAACATTGAGGTGCCCTTGAGCAAGGCACGTGATCCCCAGTTGTTCCAGGGAAGCTTCCAGCGTGTGAGGGCGCAGCCCAGAGCTGCAGAAACAGGCTGCGCATGCTCAGTGGACTCTCCCTCTACGGATGAGTGCAAACACAATGACCAGGATGATCAAAAACAAACAGTTTTCACATCAAAACTCCCTCACTTTGTGTGCACATGCTTTCCACGTGACATCTGTGTATATAAGCAAGGGGGGAAACAAATCTAAAGCTAAAGAATAGAAAATATTACAAAAAAAAAAATTTCAAAAGGTAAAAATACCCTGCAATAACATCATTATCGTGGAAACATCAGCGACATGATAGTAATACTAAAAGAGATACAATTTCAAGTAACCTAGAGATGAAAATCAATCACTCAGAATGATGAGACAACTCAGCGATTATCATATACAGACGTTATGTGCTTCAGTTTAAGTGAATGGGTTGATAATACACTCCATAATACATTTATTATTCTAGTTTGTTAAACAGTATATAGTAAGAGCTAATAGAGAGACAGTAGGAGGAGGAACGGAGGCTTTGGCTCGTCTCTCTTTCCTCTTTTCCTCCACCTTCTCATTACACAACTTTAGCCTGAATTCCTTTTTCCGAGGTGCATTCAGAGTTGGATCTATCAGTCCAACGATCAAACATCTGAACGCATCCACAAATTCAGTCGAAAACACAATGCAGAACAAACTTTGCAGGGTTATATTCCCCTCTTAAATTTCCTTCAAAAATATGCTTCATTAGTGGGCTAGAAATGATCTCAAAAGAATTTCTCATATTCTCTGGTAATCATAAGTGTGCTTCATATTTTCCTATCTATATGTTGATTCTATGTACTTTGATCAGTACAGTTGAAATTCAATGCTCTAGCAATGCGTGATTTACATTTTCAGCTTTTGACTCGAACTAAAACCCCAACCCCCTGAGAGTAAATGGACTCATCCCCCACCCGTTTGCTCACTTTTTCAGCCCTTAGCAGTGACACTCAACAGATGTTGCCTTGGAGCCTCCAGTGTCTAAACAACATCATAAGCAGTCATCAAACCCTAAAATCAAAATTGGGGGAATTAAATTCCAGAGGGTGCTCAGCAGACCCTCTTAAGGGGGTGTTTTCACCCACTTTGAAGTTGCCTGATGACACGTTCTGGCCTTGATCATTTCCAATCAGTAATTCTTCGCTGCTATTTTCGGTGACAGTGGTGGAGCTTCAACAAAAGGAGCATTTGAGTGGGATTTATCACATCCATGCGTCAGGGGAAGCTCATGTGTGTTATGCTATGATGGTGTTATGGATGTACACAGAGTGAAGCTAAAAGTCCTCTTCCTTTTTAGGCTGTCACTTGTGACATGCGATAAAAAACCATCAGGCTTCTAGTGGGCGGCCTCCACCCATACGTGTGTCATTAGGTCACTGGACCAGAGTTTAAGTATCTGTTGGAGGTAATCTTAGACTTATTAGCAGTTATTAGCTGGATGATTAGACCCGTCTGTGGCATTATGCTCCTTTTGTGCAGATGAAGGCTGAATTGCATGAGGCTGAATTTTTAAAAGAAAATTAACTATGGTTTGATAAGCTGATTATTTTGCTTAAAATGTCAAAAAGACATTAAGAAATCATGAGAAATAGAAAAGAAAAACAAGCTGTGGGTGTTTGAGGCAGCTGTAATGCATGCGCCTGCATCTGAGCGCCGGGCGTTTGATGACTGTTTATGGATCTGATTGTATCTATGGCAGGAGGATGCTCAGGCTCGAAGACAGAAACATTGCTGTGGAGATGTTGCCGGGGCCGAACCATTTTTCTGCTTCGCCCCCCTGACACTCTCTCTTTAGCCTGAACCGCCCCCTTCTCTGTGAGGTTTACATTTAGACCGGCGTAGTTTTCCTATTCAGGGTATCTGAGTTGCTGTCTCGGTCCCTTTTGGCTGTGAGTCGGTCCAGAGTTCCCACGTTCCCCCTATCTCTCTCCATGGTTGCCGTGGATATGGGGGCCGACTGGGCCGGCGCCGGCGCCGGCGCCGTGGAGGTGTTGAGCGGCGCCGCGTTCTGGGCCACGGCCGCCGCCGCCGCCGCCAGGTTGGACTTGGAGTGAGAGGGGAGGGTGCCGCTGCTGATCACCGCGCCGCCCCCGCCGCCGCCGCCGCCGCCGGAGGAATCTTTGGGGAAGTAGTTGTGGAGCTGGTAGAGGGTGGCGCGGTCCACCGTGCCGTAGAGCGGCGGGGCGCCTCCTCCGAGGCTGCCCAGCTTGGAGTCCCGGGACAGGGTGTACATGGAGATGTCGCCGCCCCCGCCGCTCCCCCCGCCGCCGCCGCCGCCGCTGTGGTGCGGGTTGGGCAGGGTGGCCACGGAGAAGGGCGGGGCGGACGGCGGCAGGCTGAAGGTCTTGGACGCCCCCACGGGGGAGGCCTCCTGCGAGTGGGGCGGGTCGGTGGAGCGGGAGCTGGAGCGGGAGCGCCGGCGGAAGCGGTAGCTGGGCAGGCGCAGCACGGCGTGCGTGGTGCTCTTGAAGAGGTCGCTGCGGGAGCGGCAGCGCAGCTCCTTGTTCTTCTCGATGTAGATGTTGACGGCCAGGACGCCGACCATCTCGGCCAGGATGAAGGACAGGCCGCCAAAGTAGAAAGACCAGCCATAGGAGTAGTGCCACTTCTTATCCTCGTCCTTCTTGGGGGAGATGTCGCTGAGTGCTGCCGAGATGTAAACGATAACTCCGATGATGTTGCTGAGGCCTGGAAAGACACAAAATAATCATTTTTTAGGTCATTGTGAATCTGTATATCGTCTTAAGCTCTTCAGAATTGCTCCATATCTGTTACATTCTGGAAAATCTATATTTTATTTGGTTTCCTGCTGAATGAGGCACTTATGGTGGGAGCGTTTGAGTTGGCACCATTTGCCAAGGTTTAAATTTGACACCTAACTACAAATGTGAACATTTAAAGGCTGTAAACTCACCCGCAGCTACGAAAAGAATCCCTCCGCCAAGGATAATGTTCCTTTTGCTCTTGTAAAAGCCGCTGGAAGCGACGCAGACTCCGCCCAGCAAAAGCAGTATGGCACTGAGGATGGGGAAAATGCTGGAAGCTCTCACCACACCTGCAAGTGACAGCAGACGCATCATCCTGTCAAAGGCAGCTCCCTCAGAGGTACAATTACAGCAGGCACGGTATTTTTCTCCAGGTTCCTCAACTGCAGATTTTAGTCTTTTGACACGCCTGTGAAAGAGCGCTGTCAAAACTTGAGAAAAGTTTTTGGAAAAAATATCGCAGACTAAAGTCATTAGTGTCGGCAGGAGATAAAACATAAAAAAACATAAAGATTCATTATTGTGAAGCAAAAAATATCAAACACATTGAGAGGCTCCCCACTGTCTCTTAAGTTAAAAGTAAAATATTAGAAGTAAAATGCTGGAAAGCCATCTCTGACAGGATGATGTAGAAAAAAAGAGCATTCAAGTCCTCAAGGTTATTTAAAAAAAAAAGCTGCTTTGGATTTTGGTCTTCTCCAAAAGGAAAACATAAAAGAACCTGACTAAGATACGTTCGGAGGCCTCTGTCGTACGTGTCCAACAGTGTTGGCGTTCTTTGACACATCAATCAAGGGTTGATTATCTCTGTAATATAACCTTTGACTAACATTTATGGTTCTCTATTAATGAACCCAGCAGTGAATCAACCTGGATGAGAGAACTAGAGATTTATAATTATCGCAGCATCAGCATCTATAATGTAAGCATCACAAAGAGGCTTTCCACTGAGAGGGATTCCTTTTTTTGGGCATGTCCTGTGATAAATAGCATGCAAAGGTGGAGACGTTACAGATTAGCACCATATCATAGAGTATCAGTGTGTCCTTTTCCTATTTGACAGTGCTGAATTTTGGTTCAGCCCTTGAGTCATGAAACAGGCCTTTCCTTGAATAAAGCCTATTATCCCCACTGGTCAAAGACAGATAACGATTATAGACACAGTAATACTGCATGTGTAAAGTCTAGTTGACCTGCTTTTGGTCTTTGGGTTGTTATATGGATGACACCAAAAACATAAACAATTTTTGACCAAGACTATTTGGGATTTTGTGCTTGATTCAACATTTTTTTTAATACCATATGTCTTAGTTTTTAAATTAGGGGCCTCATGAGGGGGATTTATAATCATAATAGACTTCCATTAAAAGAAAGAAAATAATGTTCCTGGGTTTGATCAACCAATTAAAAAGCATTAGCAACACTGGATTTGACTTTGCAGAATAAACTAAATCTGTAAAATGCTTTCCAGAATCGCCTGGAAGGCATTTTGCAGCTTTAGCATATCAAAGCAAAGCGAATACAGGTGCGAGTCACATCACAGCCTTTGCCATGGGACTAGTTACCTTTATGTAAGGTATGGATAAAACACGTGCTTTGGGAACTAAAAGGTTCACAACTGCGCGATCTGCTGCCACAATAGAAGCAGGATGGAAAAACCTGAATACTGCACTGAAAATAATCCATTAGTGAAGGCTGTTCTTTCAATCCATCTGTGAGAGAGAGAGAGAAAAAAAACAGCCTTCTGTACACCCCCAGACTCCCAACCTCATGCACCTGAGCATTTTTACACACACGTACAGTGTACTGACACACACTTACACACACCTTCAGGAACACTTTGCTCGAGTCTGACATCCAGGCATTGATGTCCGCCCACCATCCCCTTCTGTCTCTCCATCTCTGTGTCATAGAAACTGTTGTGTGTGTGTGCGTGTGTTGTTTAGCGTGCGCCTAGCGAGTGTGTGTACGCCGGTGAACTATTATCTAATGTCTCTATACATTTTTAATGTGTAGTTGTCGTGCGTTTTTCGCGCGGCTGTGTGTGTTACTCACGCAGCAGATACTCGGCAGCGTCTTGGTCGTAGTCCGCATCCTCCGGGAAATGATTGATCTGGGAACACACACCTCTCTTCAAGCCTGACAACGAGACGGAGAGGTTTAGAAAAAGGACACGGAAAGGAGATACAGGGGGGGAAAAAAATTCCAATTTCCAGGATGGCGAAAGCTGCAGATGCTTCAAAGTGTGTCCTGACGTCAAGACACAATTAAAACTACTGAAAAGCTACGCTGTAGGTGTTCCATCTGCCTTGATGGTTACATGAAGGGGAGCTGTCAAAATGACAGGCCGCTGTATGGTTTTACTAAACTAAAGAACAGGCCGAGAAGCAAGGAGGACAGGTGGAGGACGGGATGGCAACAACTGCAAAACAGAGCCACCGCCTCTGAAAAGGACGTTGTGAAATGGTCAGGGGCTAAAGGAGAGGGAAGAGGGTGGGCTAAAACGCATGGAGGAAGACGGATGAAAGGCAAGGGAATTACAACAAGGCGGGCGGAAAATGGCGAAGGTGGAGGCTAACAAGGCAGCTCAGAGATGCGAGACGGCATGGATTAATCGATGCAAAGCGTGACAGAACGGCCCGTAAAAAAAGAGCAAAGGCAGGCCTGAAGAACAAAGGGTTAACAAACAGAGGTTAAGAATCAACAGGTGAGCACATTTCTAGATAGATAGATAGATAGATAGATAGATAGATAGATAGATAGATAGATAGATAGATAGATAGATAGATTATTTCCTGATATTATTCCCTATTTGAAATATTTTAAAAGTTGATTTTGTTTTTGTCTTAAAAAAAACTGTGAAAACTGAGGTCCAATTTGAAAGAGTCATATAACACCTGTCTGTAAAAAAGCAACATTTTTGGTTTACAGACATCCCACATGCCTCTATCGTAACATTTGGTGATTTTCCCTCACTGGAGAGTGAGAATCCGATCCCGGATCAGAGACAAAAATAACACATTTAATGGTTGCTCAGCTGAAGGCTGAAAGCCTTACAAAAACCCAAGAAGAAGTTAATTAATCAAGTCAGGTCTGAAAACAACCTTTTAGACCGAATAAAACTTTATCGGAGCGGGTACACGCACACGTAGCCTGTGCTGTAACAAGCTGGGGCTGTCTTCCTCTAATAAAGTAATACATGCACAGCCTCCTGACTCGGAGAAGCCCTGCTCGTACGCCCGCACCTCGTTCTGTTGACTGTCATAGCTGAACTGAACAGGTTGTGCCTGTGTTTGTAGCTCAGATTCAGGACGTCATCCGCGGAACAGTCCCGTCTGCAGTGTTTACGGCTGGCAGACTTTGTGCGCCCATATCTTGGCATCACATTTCTGCAAAGACGGTTCTTCAAGTTAAGCCCCCTGAGATGGAGGACCTCATGAACCACAAAACAAATCCGAGGAATATCAGTGGAACGTTATCTGGGGAATCTTGGTTCCTTTTAAACCCTTGGTTTAAGCCTGTGTTTCTTTTTATATTTTATTTCAAATGTGCCCTTCCTTTCACCTGCGTGTCTAAAATGATCCCACGCTGACACTGAGCAGCGTGCCCGAATGGAAAATAACAACACTGACCTTCGTTCATCGAAAAATATCAAAAAGGGGATTTTCAAATCCAAACTGAGGCAACTTTCCTTAAAAAATATCAAGGGCAATTGCAAATGTCCCAGTTTGTGCACAGCTGACAGGACAGGTATGCGCAGCATGTATTATTCTTCATCAGCAGCCCGCCAAGACAAAGAGAAGGGAATAAGATGTCATTACAGATCCATCTGCTCCTTCAGCATCACAGAGAGCGCTTTGGATCTATCATAATTCAGCACAGTTTGACCACCGATGCTGCTGGGCAGGAAACTATTGGATCATTTGCACATTTTTGCAGACATTTCAGAAAAAGGTTAGGAGGAATAATCAGCACATTCAGTTCAACCTCTCTTCCCTACAATCATTCTTCCAGCGAGGAATAGAGAGGACGGGGATGGTTTGGGGGGGTTCATTTCCATTTGATCCCTATTACTCCCCAATAAACATTGATTTCCTGGCATTTATAGGAAAAACCATGAACACCAGGTTATATCCAACAGAACACTACTCTCAGACAATGCAGACCAACGTACCATAAACAAAAAGTGCTGTATTCATACAAAAAAAAAGAAAGATAACCCCATCTTTCTCCCACTGGAGACACATCTGGTATTCTATTAGTGCAATTGCAAATGCGAGCGGCAGCAGATTGTGCCGCAGCAGTAATGCGAGGCAGCTGCGGCCAATCGTTTCACCTGAACCCGAGCTGACAATTAGTTAGCCAAATATGATTGTGTGCTTGGCAGATGAACACCTACACGTGTCTGGTTTTATTACGCCGATGAGTCCTCCCACCTCCACCAGACCCCGACGTGACACGCACGAGACGGCACGCACACACACACAACCAACCAACCCGTCAAAGCACGCGCACAGCAGCTGTACCTTCCAGGCAGCAGATCCTCCAGAGGCCGGAGTGGGTGAGGGCCCCGGGGTCCTTCTTGTCCTTGTTGTTGGAGTCCTCCTGGGAGGAGTTGGCGGTGCTGTTGCAGATGAAGGCGCGGGCGTACAGCCAGTAGTCCGTTCCGATGGCCACCGTCATCAGGGCGAAAGCGGCGAAGGCTCCCATGGTGGTCAGCAGCACCTGGATGCCTCGCTCGCACCAAACCAAGGCAGGACGGGGAAGGAAACTGATGTCTGGCAAACACACACGGGCAAGAAAATCTGCTTGTGATTAACAGATCCGATCACTGTTCTGATTCAAAGTGTACCTGCAGCCTATTTGGCCGGTTTCCACCCCGTGACAGAGAAGGCTTATCACTAATGTGACGTGATGTAGAACCCTTTCTGGACCAGCAGTCGTTATAATGTTAGATAGTAGTAACAACTTAGTGACTAAGACTGAGCGGTCATCGTGAAAAAGTACATTTCTCTCACAAGTTGTGTATTGTAATATCTGTGTAAAGCTAGGAGTACTGTCTCTGCTGGGGTCATTCTACATGACTGGTGGGATCTGCTAATGGGGATGACTCTTTCATGATAATGTTACAATTTATTGGTTAATTCTGAACAAATGGAGGCCGAAGAGTCAAATTTAACAAGCATGTGAATTTCAGCGTCTATCAAAAAGAATGTAAATGTATAAGATCTATTGTGTGAATATCACTGTGTGTGTGTGTGTGTGTGTGTGTGTGTCTGTCTGTCTTCAGTAGAACATTGTTAATCTTTTTTTCTTTTTTCTTTTACATAATGAGTCATATCCTGGTTAGGATAATTGATGAAGATATCTTTTTATATATATATTTTTAGAGGAATTATCTGAATGGTGTGATTATCATATTAACAAGAAACAGTGATATTTTTGTACTTGCAAAAATAATTGAAGGGGACCATTTAAGGTGAGATGACCTGTGATATCTGCACTCAGATGTGGACAGTGAGAGGGATGATGAGAGGAACTAAGATACGTTGTGCCTCAGAAAGCTACGATACATATATGGACGAAGACCGGGGGGGGGGGGGGGGATATTTCAACCAGTATTCTACTCTTTTCTTTTGAAAAAGTTTTTGCCAATTCTTTCTATGTGATCCCAAATGGCTGATGAATGCAAACAGTAACCTGCAAAAAGAAGATACATCTCAGTTTGCACTATTCAACTATTTGGTTAATTTAGATGCCCCAAACGGTGTTTCCATGGCAACAATTGCCAGAATAAAAGGGACCATTGGTACGATGACCCTGAAAATGACCTGTCTGATGGAATATGCATTAGGTAAGTTCAGAAGGAGACCACGGGACTAAGTGGTAACACCATATCCAACTGGGGAGCTTTAAGATCTATTCGCTGCTCCTGAGGTTTTTTTGTACTTTTCTTTGTGTTTGACTTTATGCATATGATAATATCTTGAATATTTATCTATATTAAACATATGTTTGCCTCTAACTTGATTGTAAGGCTGAACTCATGGTAGAACCTGAAATACCTGCACAGGTCCAAAATAAATATTTTTTTTTTATTTCAATTTTCTTTCATTTTTTATATAGCCATATTTGCAGCCAGCCATGTTTTCCTAATATTAACAAGCGGTCATTTAACAAACCTTTATGCAAGAGCCTCATAAGTACATATTTTTTATTCTATTTTGCAGAAAAACAGCATCATGTTTAGCTTTAGGTGTTTGAATTGGAGGATACGGGTCCGAAGATATCTGATGTCAACATGTCTGAAATAACACAGCTCCAGAGATTTAAACTTAACACGTCTTTTTACTGAATTACGTTGTGCCCAAGCAGATTATGAAAAAAGAAAGAAGACTTTGAATTTTTCTGAGTTTTGAACGATGGGATAAGAAATACATTAATTCTTAATCAAACAGAGTTGGATAAGCTGGGATAATCATTTCACAAGCCTCCCACAACATATAATCGGATCATTTGTAAAGATAAAAATGTTAAATGAAAAATCCCTGCAGTTGAATTTAGCCCTGTTTTGATGGGGAACCATATTAAATGTGTCAGCAACAGGCTTCCTCTGTTTTCACAAATTTTGACTCAATAAGCCTCTTAAAGGAAGCCCGTGTGCTGAATGGTTGAAGGACTTGTAGATGAATACTCTTCCGGGCAAAAAATTAGTAGTTTAGTAAAAAAAAATTGCAGCAATCACAGCTCCAGAGACGGTAAATTAAACCCACAAGAGATTACACAATCCCACATCTTCTAACTGTGCCTGGTCCTAGTCGGCTCACTCTGTAAAAGAATGAATGGATTCTGACACCGCGGAGCTGGTTTATGCGACCGGGCATAGCAATTTAGTTGACGACAACAAGGTTAATTAATTGACGCGATCCTTACAAGGAGGGGGTCATTTCCCCGATTCCTAAACTCCTGATCTGTCAGCGGTACTTTCGGTACAATTCGGTACAATTCGGCTCAAAATATGAGCAAACATTCCGCTGAGTTCCACCGAAGCCCGCGCATATCAATCGGCCCCTCGAATGCAGATCTGAATGCAGACATCTGTACACATCAGCATCTGACGGCCGTGCACGCCCGTGCGCGTTGCTGAGTCCTCTAAATCACACACACATGCATCATGAGTCATGAGCGTGAATGCGCTCCTGTATGAAGCGATGTGAGCAGCAGGTTGTCGGTGCACACGCCGGAGCGCCTTACCTGAGGGCATGTTTCTCCCCTTCGTCTCCATGTCCTCTCCCGCCAGCCGTGGCTGTTCTTCTTGGTCAGTGAAGAGCACTTGGTAGCCCCGGTCCGAGCCGCCTCCATCCACCGCTTCTCCGTCGCTCTCTCGCCGCCTCTCCTTCCCTTTGATTTTTCTCTCACTTCCTCTCTTCTTAGCCCCCTTCTCACTTCTTATTCCTCCCTGTCTTTTTTCCCTTTTTCTCCCTCTTTCTTTCTCCTTTTTCCTGTTTTTTTTTTTTTACCTTGAGGACTACTTCTCCTTCTCAGCAAGTGGTGGACGCTCCACTCGGCGTCCTCTCCTCTCACTGGATTGCCACGGCAGTCATCTTAGCAACTGAGAGAGGGAGGAAAGAGGTGGCTGTGAGGAGGTGGGGGGTAAACAGCAGAGAGTGAGAGAAAGGACTGAGAGCCAGGGACAGATGCGAAGGACAGGGAAGACGAAGGAAAGAAAAACTGAGCCATTAAAGAAGGAGATGAGGAGATGAGATGGAGGGTGAGGCGAGGTGGGCGTGGAATTTCGATCAACGATATGAGTCTTGAGACTAGATGATGCCTTATGAGCATGCAAAACATGTGTTCTCTTCCTATGAAGACGGTATTTCCTTTCTTTTAAAAAGTGAAACAACGCAAACACCTAAAACCTGACGCCGTCGGCAAATACGCTCCCTCTGCGAAACAAGGCGAGCCGGTTTGCCTCCACAGAGAGAAAAGATAAAGCAAAAAGAAAAGAACAGGCGATGCCAGAGAGCGTGCTCAAGTCCATTGCCATGGCAACAGCGAATTCCAAAGTCTATGGCGGAGCTGACGAGAGCGCGCGTGCATGTGTGTGTGTGTCTGTGAGTGTGTGTGAGTGTGTGTCTCTGCCGGGGGAGTAAAGGGATGCATGTAACGGCTGAGAGGATTTGGCCGAGATCAAAAAAAGGCAAAAGTGTGAGGAATATTCCAGTGGTTTGGTTCGGCGTGGATGTTTCACGCTGGGCGTGGAAGCGCAGGCGCGTGTTTCGGGAGGACGGCGTACAGAAGAGGAGAAAACAATCACAAGAGGGATGACGGCCTCCTGAGTCATTAGTGCTGCGGTCACAGTGTCGGCATGTTTCATCCACCCAACTTTCTTCCCGCCGGTGTGTGATGGCTTCATCACTCCACTTCTGCACTGCTCACGTTCTCACAAACGCACGGGGCAGATGTTTCAGGGCCCGAAAGGTGCGATGCCTTGCTCGAGGGCGCGTCAGCAGAACAGCTGCTTTGCCTGCCGAGCTCACAGCTCACACGTTTCCACGAGCACGAACAGGAAATCCCCATCGGCACTGACATAAGGTCAAGTTTAGCCTTTTTTTTTTTTTACCCCCCCCCCCACTCACAAGCTGTTACCAAAACCACGGGGCACCCAGAATCCATACAGGAGGCATTTGCAGCAGAACAGCATGGAGTCCCAATTTGTTTTTTGTCGACAGCAAACCCAGAAGTGAATCGCAAACTCCTAATATGGGTTCATTTCAGCAACTGCTATGTGTGGAAAACACAGATCAAAACCTGATCCAAAGGAGGGCCCTACACTTGGACAGAAATAAGGATAAACTACTCATAAAGGAGCTGGTTTTGGGTACCGAAACATGTTTTTCTGGTTCAGTGATAGAAAGTTATGTCAAAGAATAATGCAACATCTGGATCTTGAAAGGTAGTTAATGCAGAAATGCATCAGAAACCTTTAAGTCTCGCTTTATTTTCTTATTTCTTACTGTTTCTCTCTCTCTTCAATAATAGTATTGGTACGACATTCAAAGTGAGAGTAGCGAACTCTAACGCACACATTTTTTTCTCTTTCAGAGAGTTTAGACAGAAATGGACATTTACCCGAAGCAGACTTTAAATCAAAACACAAACAGCAAATAAGGAAATCCTCAAGTAAAATAAGACAAAAATGCAACAACCAATGACATCACTGAATGCAGTGGCCAATGGACATTTTCTGACTTTTTCTATAGTTTTATGCATGAAGGGGATCAAAATCTAATTAGGGGTCAATATTAGGTGACAACTTAATGCTGTGAGAGGCCAATGCAGATAAACATTCACATGAATCCTTCCTCAGACCAATTGGGAGCCAAAAAGCTGCTTGGAAACTCTAATATAATATAAAGCCATCAATTAGTTTACCTATTTACATGTAAGGTAATAATCATTTCTCATAATCATCACGCCCCCTTATGTTTAGCATAAATAAAGTTGCTAAATTCATGCGTACAGTTAAACAAGAGAGGAAGAGAGCAGCTACGCATCTTAAAAAGTAAAGTGGATCTGTTTGACATGTCAGCATGACTGGAGTAAGCTCATCCATTTTTCAATTGAGGTTTTCTCTCCAAAACAACTAATGAATGTGGGCTTGTTTTGGAGTAAACAGACAGGAGGGAATAAAAGTCACAGCAAAGGCAAAAATCAAAGCTTTTTACCGGCAGCCAGAGAGGAAAACACAAACTATCACTGGCTGAAGCTCTTTAACACCTCCACCCCCAGTAAGAAAATTCAAAAATAAAAAGCCAAAAATCATGTTTGGCTTATGAATTTAAAAAAAAGAACTTGTGAAATGTCCAAAGGGAGATGAATGCAGATTTTATGAATGCTCTAGAATCTGAATTTATTATTGTGCATCATTAATGACAATTTTGAGGTAAACTTAGTCTTTTTTCCTTTTTTTTCCTCCAGAATATCTAAAACTGTTTCCAGAAACCGATACAAAGCAAGTGGCCATTTGAGCAATGAGTAGTTTTTGGTAAAATCGTCCCAAAATTCCTTACCCAGTTCACGCACTGGCCCTCTTCAGTTTCAAACAAGCATCAAGCACTACTAGAATGACAATTATATGTTGTCTCTTAGAAATTGTATGCAAAATTTCATCATCCATGGGGATGATGTGGCTGAGGATTTCTGCAGAACATCAGGCCTCTCATATGTGCAACATCATCCATTAGAGGAAATAATTGTAGCCACTCAAAATGTGGAGCTTTTAGCATTACAGCTAACTTGGTTGCACAGTCAGGAGTTGATTTAATGAGTTCTGCAGCTTTCGCCCCGCAGAAGAGTCGATAGCAAGCCAAGTAGGGAGCGGCACATTTCTAAAAACTGGTAAAAGCAACATTACAACACACATAACTCTTGTTTTTCATTGAGCCTTGGATAATTTAGTTTCCCCCATTTCAGTCACATAGTTAGATTTTCCTAAGTATAAAAATGGGCCACTATTTAGAGTAGCAGGCACAGGGAAATCCGCTTTCAGGTAAAATATCCATCTATTTTTCCATTTTCACTGTGTGAGATGGTCATATATCCGCAAAACCTTTATTTAAAACTGTGACATCTGTTGTGTGAGCGGAAAGCCCACCTAGTGGCCATGGGAATAATTACAGGAAAGCAGTGCTGCATTCATCTTGATCACATCCTTTTGAGACCCACTAAAGCACCACAGGACCCCAGGGAGGCCTGCAATCAGAAATAACAGACAAACACAAACAGGAACCCAGTCATTGTTATTTTGTGTTCACGGCCCTGATAACAAAGCCCACTCAGAGGCAGAGTGCTTCTGATGAATGAGGGCCCCGCAGCACAACATGAAACGCAGGCATGTCGGAGAAAAGTTCAAGGACAAATCACACTCGTCCTCCTTGGTGAATGCAGAATCGGTATGAATCCCGACGTGAATGCAGAGCAGCGATTGAAGACGCTCATTGGTTGTAGTTATGAGGCCCACAAACCAGCATGGCTGCACGAAAAGGCAGAAATGCACTCTAACATCATTATCAATAGTGAAAATGAATGAAAATGGATACCATTTTCCAAATCTGAGGCTCTTCGATAAACTGGGCAGTTTTTAAGATAATAATAATACAACATTTTTTGTCTCCAGGACACACTCCTGTGTCCTTTTGACATCACTACACTTAAATTTACCCCACAATTCCCTACTTTTGTAATTAGTGAAGTCTTTTTTTCAAATATAGGGTACCTTTTTAGATGTTTTTTTTTTTTGTGCAAAAGCACCAGCACTGCAGCAGCATCAGATTCCCTACTTCAATGGTATTGACATCTTGGAAGAGAAATCTGAACCCACACTGGAGCTGGATCCCACATCCCTGCAGCTCACTTTCCTATCATGTCTTTGTTGTTGTTGTTTTTTTCCCTTTTCTCCAGCAAACCTCATAAACAAAGAACAGAGCTAAGAAATAGAGCCTGTAGCTCGATCAGACACTCACTGCTTAAATGTTTTCTCACTTAAATAGTGTTCAAACTTTTAATCATGGCAGCAGAATTAGAGTCACGTTCACTATAGAAATGTTTCTTCCTCTAACGTCACCACAACCAGGTAACTGTGTCACATTGAAAAGTCCCAGGTCTCTTATTTATCATTCCACGGCTGCGCATCTCCCCACGCAGGTCCAGCGTCCTTTTCCCAAACTGTGGAGCTTGAACGGCAAAAGCAGTTCAAATGGCTCAAATATCGGAAACACGACGCCCCCCGGCTGTTTTCACTGCTTTCTTTTCTTTTTTAGATCGGCGATAATGAATGACAAATTATAATGATGAATAACATAAAGAAAACATCTCCCAAACGGAGCACATCAGTCGTCCACGTTTCGTGACAGTTTCACCGTGTTGCACGCGCACTCCCCCGATTAGAAAAAAAAGGTGCGTTTTCCTACAATTTCTACATTAAAGAGCAAACCAGAAAGCAAAGGGTCTGAGGAATGACATCGGTGGTTTTTGCTTACCCTCCGGGAGCAGCTCTGGCTGCATGCCTGCAGGTGATGGCGGGGAGAGGACGTGGCTGAGTGGACTCTGCATGCTCCTGTCATGTTCCCAGTCAATGACTGCAAACGTTCTGGAGCCAGCTCTTTTTCTTTCTATTTTTTTTTCTGTTTGACAATCTTTATTGAACTCTTTCTAATAGTCTTGGCACTTAGTTCTTAGTAGACTGTCTTTGAATACAAAACCTCACATGTTTTACAGTATATTTGCATCCTATGCATCTTTTTAACCCATTAAACTAAAAAAAAATCATCTGACTGAGTGAATGAAACATTTAAAGTAGTCTTCAGTAATTTAAGTAGTCAATAACTACTATGAAAAAATCATATGAACCGTTTAATTGACTATTAGTCAAACGGAGATAAGTGTAAGACAAAATTAGATTAGAAAACTATTCTGAACAACGTACTGTTGGTACACAACTCTGATGACAATAAGAAGTGAAAAAAGGCCATTTGATTATGTTATTTAACCATTAAATGCATCCCTTCTGTTTCACGCCATTAGAAATGATAGGTAATACAAATATATCTGATTTAGTATATCTATAAATGTGTAAATATTTAATCTGATTTAACAGATGTTCATTTTTGAGGGTTCAGACAGCCATAATTATACAATTTCACCTGACAGCCAGGTGGAGAGAGGCAGAGCAAATAACAAGCTGAGTCTACAGGGAAAGGAGGCGGGGAGGTGAGAGGAATGCGTGTGGAAAAGAGGACAGACAGGCAGAACTAGAAAGCCTTTACAGGTTTAATAAGGAACAGTAAGGAACCTGGGCTAGACAGACGGTCGGTAAGGATCAGGGGGCTTTCAGGGGAATCGGAAACTTGTGTTTGTGTGTTTGTGCTTCAGGCAGCTTCACGATAGCTTTGATATGGTTTAGTTATGGGGGTGGTAAGAATATTAACACTGGAAAATGTAAGAAAACCTGCATGCACAGAGAATGTTTGAAATCTGAAATAAAATTGTTTCTGGGTTTTAAACCAATCATGTCTTTATTGTAGGAATTTAGCCATTTGGACCTTCAGAACCAAAATGCAGAGAAAACTCTCTACTCGACATAGTGCAGTTATCAGACTTATCAGTTCCTATTAATCCAATATAACTATAAAACTGCACAATGTACAAAACGATGGGTCTCAGGATGTTAGAGCAAAACCCCTCACCCTGAATACCCTGAGCTAAATCTATTAGCAAATGAAAGCAAATGTCTTAATACCACCATGCTTGAGGGTCCATTTTATAGACAAACAGTTGATGTATCAGAACCAAAGCAGAGGTGAAGCCAAGCAGCAAATCCAAGAGGGGGCGGGCCTGAATGATAAGAGCCTGAATGATAAAATGAAACCTTTCTCTATATGGAGGGAGCCAGATACAAAAAAAAAGGGAAATGGCTAATTGAATTCAGGTATGTGAGGGGGGCAGCAAGACTAACTGTACATCCATCCCTTTTCTAATCCGATTCATGGCTGCAGGAAGGCTGGCGCCTTCCCCAGCTATCGTCGAGCCAGAGGACAAGCCGGCCTGAACATCACAGGTCTAAACGAATTTTGTCTAATGTAATGTGGCTTTAGATGGAGTCTCTCAGTGACCGGTTGGAGAGATCTCCAAATAAAGCAAAGGAGGGATTATGAAATAGCGACACAGACCTGAAACACTGCAGTTTTCTGATAAAGGTGACAAAGGTCACATGGAGCATCTGGAACTATATGAAGCCCCCTCTTGTCACAGCAGAGTTTTCTTTGGGAACGTAGCCACTTTTAAATAACTGCCGTCAATTGGGACAAGCCAGCTGTCCAAATCTGTCTCCCTAAAAACGCTCAGAACCTCCTCTGATGAGAGGAGCCTGTTCCTGCTGCTCAAATTAAAAGTGCAGCTGCGAGCTCAGCAGCTCAGACTGTATTACGTCTTTCTCACTTCCCAGCGAGCTCAAGTTCTGGAAGCGACTTGCAAACTTTATAATTAGTGTCAGGCCAGTTATGCTGAAAACACAGGGGGATAATTAGGGTGTTCCAAAGGAAATTGGACCAGAGAATTTGAGATGCATTTCTTTTCTGATCTTAAACACACCCAGAAGCTAAAGGTGTATCTAAAAATGATTCATGTAACACTTTCTCTCCACTGACATTGGATATACCAATGCATTCTTCTTTTTCTACATGCAGAGGTTGCATGCTCCTTTTCGGCACTCAGCATCGTCTTCAGCTTGATAACAGTTTCCCTGACCCATTGTCGTAGAAAAATAAAAAATCCATAACAGTAACAATCACTGCGGTTTTATATTTCCAACTGCATCATAGTGCGAAAACGATGGCTTCCAAATTCATTTAATAGTCCATAAACATATTGCCTCCAAACATTTAGCGAGCAGCTGTGTTATGCAATGAGTGAATCATGCCTTGATAGTAAAGCACCATAACGTTCAGCGTTTACTGTCCTGTTTCGCTTACATAAGAGCTGGAATCAATGCATGCAAATGGAATCGTTTTATGAGTCATTTTGCAGCATATTCTGGAAATGGTGTCCCATTTCAGGTCTTCTGAGGGTGTGTCAAATTACAGATGTCACGTAACAATCTCAGTGATGTAAAATATCACAGTAAGAATTCAGTCATTTCATGAGCAAATATACTCCTTACATAAAAGCTTTATCTTCTTTGAGCAGATGAGATCTGAACAACCGGCATGCAAAATGACAACAGAAGACCATGAACAGCATACAATTAATGTGAATTTTATTTTCATTTTTGCAACAGGCATTTTTTTTTTACTCGCACTGTACAAGCTGCCACATCAGCTTGTTGTTCTCCCAGAAATGAGTGCCGAACTACTAATTTTCAGTTATGTACAGAATTGCTGTCTTACTCAAGTTTCTGCACGACTGTTGGATCAGCATATTTAGCAAGTAAGCGAGTGGGGAATCTGGAAACAGGCAAACTTTATTGGTTTCAAAGTTAGCAAATCACTGCCGGCAACTGAACAATCCTGAAATGTTCCAAACAAACAGCAAGTTAAAATAACACCGTGGTGCACAGGTATTCGTTGAGTCTAAGATAACTGACTCGAGACATAAATGACCATTTAAAAGTCCTGGGTAGTCTGCACACTGAAGAATACAGAGTGGATATTTACACCCAAATCACAGTTTGAAGAAATGTTTGAAGCAAACATCTGGAAAAACTAAAGAAAAAACAAAGAAAAAAAAGCTCAATTGCTCACTTTTGGCTCTGAATTATGCATATGAAGACACAATTCACCAAAGTAAGCTGCATAAATATATGTCTTTGTTCCCATGTGTCAGTATTGTGTGTGTGTGTGTGTGTGTGTGCGCTAATAAATGTGGATGCTCAGCTTTGGCAATTCAAATAAATCTCGGAAAACATCTGCAAAAGCTCTTATCAGAAGCTAAATGGTTTTTCCTATTCACTTGTTACATAAAGCATGATAAAATATGTTATTGTCACTGCAATTAATTTGCTACAATGTTATTCTTTAACAGTATCACAGGTTAGAAGCATAAGATCTGTTCCCGTAAATCTAGAAATAGCTACAAACGATGCATCATTGTAGGCATGATTGTTACAATGCTACAAAAACAAGAAATCGTTCTGGTCAACGTCAAACACGGTAATTTAGATCGGAAGCAAACTGGAAAAGCTGACATTTGCATTATCTTAGTCGCTAGCAAAGTGTTAAACCTTTCAGTCGACGAGCAGCAGCTGACAAAAAAAAAATATCCACACTCTCAACTGTTTAAAGTCTTCTTTGAGGGCAACGGGACTAATCGCACAGATTTCCAAGGCAGGCTTCCAGTTTGCTTCCTATCTACGTCTGACTTCCGCAAAGTGCCTCGTCTTTACTTAAATCTATGCAATACATACGCTTTCTGTCCCCTTATCAAACCAGGAGGAGAGAGACCCTTTCAACCCTCTGAATTCAGGAAGCACGTTGAAGCTCCGACACGTTTACCTCTGGAGGTGCTCCCATTGGTTTTGGCTGGAAAAAAAGTGGAATTAGGATCTTCATGATTGTGCTCGAAACTAGAAGCTTTCCATGGACGTTCCACCATTACTCCATTTTTCACGAGGCAACCTCACGGGAGTCCTGCTGGAGCTGGTGTTCCGAATTGAGGGGATTAAAAACGGATCGCAATCTGAACCTGGTTTTAAGACGTTTAATCCTCAGTTTTATGGCATCAAACTCCAAGGCGTCCGCTTTGATTGTACCACTGGTGGTTTCCACCGAAAGAGACGGTCCCTGTGTGGACAGGCTATTGAAAACCTGATGAAACTCCAGAGGAAGTTCTCCAGCTGTGCTCAAAAGTCTCTCAGTCACATTTCTGCTTAACTCCAGAGATTGTTGAACATTCATTCCCAGAAAATACACGCTGCTTAGAAAATCCAATAGCCATAATACCCTAAACATGTGTTTGTATTTTTATACCGTTGGTTTTAGCAAGAACGCAGAAGAGAGGGAGGAAGAATCTACACACGTGGAGTATAAATCTCTATGTATACACAGTTTACCCCTTTGTGTGTACAGCTGTTTTTGGCAGGTCGGGATACACCGGCAAAAGCTGAAAACACTCCTGATCAGTGATAGCATGAACCCTCACACTGGTATCTTTCCCTTTACCCTTTTGATATAACATGAACAAGGTTTGAAAGTTATAGAATTACTCAGTAAAAAAATAGCTGTGCATTTTGTGAACCAATAAAGTCTTTTGCCATTCGTTACATGTGGTAATGTAAAAAAAAACCCTGTTATTTAGAATATTGCTATACTAACTAATCTATCTATCTATCTATCTATCTATCTATCTATCTATCTATCTATCTATCTATC